GCCCGGCCTATGTCATCTAATTCTTGAATCCCCACAATAACCTGAAGGGGTAGATCCTATTATTGTCCTCATTTTATCAATGGGACAACAAAGACAAAGAAAGGTTAAGTAACTTGCCAAGGTCACACAGCAAGGAATTAGCAGAGCCAGGATTTGATCCAGGACCCACTGGTTCTGAAGTTTGATCACCACACTATTCTAGCCCCCGCAGGCAGCCACCCGTTCAAGCCTCCATCATATTCATGCAATGATGAATTTCACACAGTCAGGGAAGAGACAAAGCATGCAAGGGCAGTGCCTCACCAGAGCGACACCCAACCCACACTGGGGGTGGAAGAGCCGCCCAGAAGAGATGATGCCCCTACCAGAGCTTGGACATGCAGCAGATAACCAGGCAGAGGGGCAGAAATGGGGGAAGCGGGGAGAAGCTCCATTCAGGCAGAGGGTGTGGCATGTGCAAAATTTCAAGGCAGGAAGGAATGTGCTCTCTCCCAGCATGGTGGCATGGGGCAGCTGGCACAACAGTAGCATGGGTGACAAAGGGCGGGGGCACCCAGCAATGCCAAGAGAAGGCCAGAGAGAAAAGAGGCAGAAATAACATCACATCATCATTGTGGTCTCCTAGGAGTGTGGATTTAGCTGAAATTCTGCAATAAACTGAAGAATTTTACCCTAAGAAACGAAATGATCAGATCTTGTCCTCGGCTCACTGGCTGTTACAGAGACTAGCTGGGAGAGGGCCAAGAACTGAAGCACCGAGACTCCTTAGGAGCTGTTACTGTATTTCAAAGCTGTAATAAGAGGCGCTTTGCTGGAATCTCACAGCCATGTGACCAGAATGGAGGAAAATGTCTCACACCCAGGCAATGGAGAGGAGCAGATTTGGGACCACATAGCAGAGATGCTCCAGCTCTTCCCTAGGGGTGGTGCCCTCAGGCTGTCCCAGGGTCTTGAAAATGCTGGGAAGGCCACCTTCTCACTAGCAAAGAAAGGCAGGCCCACTCTTCCCAGGATCCCTCGCCACCCAAACAATTCTCAGAGTTCTGCTGTTAATCACTTTGAGAGCATTTCCTTGTGCTTATTAGAATTTGCTCACATTTCAGCCAGAGAGGTTTAGGCGGTAACCGGCTTCTATAAGCCTGAAAGCATTTCTGAAGGATTATGATCCAACGTGTAAGGCACATTCTTGACCTTATCATCTCCGGCTTTTCTGGGCCTGGCCGAAGGTCTTCCGCAAGGGCTTTTTTAACAAAGATCCTGGTGTGAACCACTGCTGGACTTTGTCCCTGCATTTTTGATGCCTTATGAAAAAATTCCTATTTAAACTCAAACTTCCTCAGCTGTGTTCTCCTGCACAGAATCGCTGCTCTCTTCCTGACTGTGGTGAGGTTAAACATACGACACACAGGCAGATGGCGTTCAAGTGACCAGCATCTTGTATTCTTCCCAAATAAATGTTAATATGTTCAACAAATATTATAATATGTAAATAAGGTTCCACTTTCCTCCCGAACATACGTTATTGATTCTACCAAAATGAAATACCTTTCTGGAGTTGAAAACCATTGGCCAGCTCTGGGCCTCTGAGATTCCACTCCGGAAGATATTTCTCGTGTTGAACCTACCTGTCTGCATTTGCAAGTATTAAAGCTTCCTTTGGCAGAAATTCCTTTGAACACCAATAGGACTGCAGCTTTTTTCCCACCCCACCCCCACCCCTTTTAGTCAATTCTTTAATAACCTCCAGACTAGGGGGGCCAGTTAGGATTTTCAGGACAAAGGACGGTGGGACGTTGGATCCACATCCGTACCCCCCACAGCCCCCACCCGCTCTTTGTTTCCAAACCGTCACGGTCAAGCCTTCCCCCAAAAGCTCCCGAAACTCTTAGTGAAATCTCTGCTGTTCCGTGAATGGGAGCTTGGTGACAATTACTGCCCGGAGGGCGCCCTCCCTGCGTGTGCCTCTCGGATCTAAGACCAAGACCAAAAACGGGAAGGACGTCCTAAGAGTCGGGGAGGCGAGATTTACCTTGACGAAGAGGGTGATGTCATGCTCCTGCCCCGGGGACGCCTCTCCGTCCTCCCCGCGGCTGTTCACTCGCGACGATTCGTCGCCCCCCTCTGCGCTGCCCTCCTCCGCCAGGTGGTTGCTGAGCTCGGCCTGGGGCTCCGCGGCCGCCTCCTCATCGGGGCTGCAGTGGGGCGGCTCCCCCTCGCCCCCGGCGGCCGCTTCCTCGCTGGGCCCCTCCGGGCCCGGCTCCGGCCTCTCTTCTGCCTCCTCCGTCTCCTCCCCGGGCCGATCTGCGGCCCGGTCCTCGCCAGAGTCTGAGCTCGTGTTCCCAAGGGCCTCTTCCTCGGACCCCTCTGTCCCCAAGGGCCCCGTCACCTTAGCCGCGTCCACCGCATCGCCCACCGCTAGCTGCCTGGGGCTGTGGCCACCGCTCTCGGAGGCTGCGACCTCGATCGCCTCGGCCTGGGGCGGAGGGCTGAGGTCCCCTCCGTCCTGGGGCTCACCCTCGACCCGGGGCGCCCCTCCCACCGGCCCCTCGGCTTCCATGCCGTCCCCCGCTGGCCCCTCGGCGTCGGCGCTGTCCCCCGCCGGCCCCTCGGTGTCTGTGCCGTCCCCCGCCAGCCCCCCGGCTTCTGGGCTGTTCCCCGACGCCCCAGGAGCGCTGCCTTCCTGCGCCTCCGGCCCGCGCTCCGCCTCCTCCTGCGCCTCGGGGACCTCAGGGTCCCGGGGCTCCCCCTGAGCCTCCCCCGGGACCTCGCCCTGCGCGCTGCCCCCGGGGTTCGCCTCCTCCACCTGCTCCCCGCCCTGGGGAACCTCGGCGCCCTCCGGGGCGCCCTCCCCGGCCTCCGCCTCGCCCTGCACTCCCCCTGCGCCCTGCGCCTCGGCCTCCCGGCCACTGCCCGCCCCAGGCGCCGGCTCCCCAGCGAGCGATCCGCGCGGTCCACCGGGTCCGCCGCCCCCTTCCTCCTTCACCGCGGCCGCCGCCGCCCCGCCGGCTCCCTCGCTCGCCTCCCGCCCCTCGGTCTCGGGGCCCGCGGTCCCGGGCTCGCCAGGTGTCTCCGCCTGAAGCGCTGGGCCCTCGGGCGGCCCCTGGGCACCCGGGGCGCCCCCCTCCGGCTCCGCGGCCGCGGCCATGGCCACAGATCGCTGTCCTTGACCCTGAGCCCTTCCTTGACGCTGCTGAGGGGGCCGGTGGCGCCGGGCAAGGGGCGGGGTGCCAGGGGCCGCTGAGCCCACTCCGAGAGGACGCCGCGTCCCGGGCTCGGGAGGCGAAGGTTTAGCTGTAGTGCTGAGGCCGTGCTCCTGACGCTGGGCCAAATCCGCTCGACCCCAAGACGCTGCGCCCCTTCCCCCAGTTTAAGGTCTCTGGAGTCTTCCTCTACTGCTGGATTCTCCCCAGTGCTCCTCTGCTTCCCCGGACCCCCAAGCTCAGTGCCCCGGCGGCGTAGGTTCAGTGCGAGGCTGAAGAAGGCTGCTTGGCTTCTGCACCCTTTGAAGTGTCCAGCCAGGCCCGCTGTTCTCTGTCCTGGGGTTGACCAGAAGTCCTTGGGGCCAACTCCATCCCCCTGGGGCTTGGGCGGGGCTTGCCTTGCCCTCCTCCCCCAACTTTGGGTGGCCTAGGAGCCTGGCCAATGACAGCTTTTCCTGTGGCCCTTGTGGGTTTTAATGAAAAGATCCTGGTTCTACTAGCCGCTTGCATGTTTTCTGGAACAGCTTCAAGTTCCAGAGTCATTTAAATCACCCCCCAAACACACGCCCTGACACACAAACACAATCCCCACCTTACTCCAGGAATGAAGCCTTAAGCCACTCCAGTACCCAGCTGAAGATGCCCGCCTTGTGCCTGGTGTCCGAGAGCAAGCGTACAAATCCTAGAGAAAAGAAGTAGGGAGGCCACTCTGGCTGCCTTCCAATTTCTGTTGTGTCCTCCTGAGAGGTTCCAGAGGCCCCAAATATAGAAACACAAGGAGCCAGTTGAGTTCCTCTGGCCAGAGATGTGCTCTGTTGTGTATGAGGGACCGACCCGCCTAGGGAGTGCTGCGCTGGGGAAAGGTTATATCCCTCATCTATCTCCCTGGTCCCTGAAGAATCTAAGAGTCGGTGTATCTTGTGGATGCTCCTAGAATTCTAAACCCATGACTAGTGCTTCAGCCTCAAAGTTAAGGGCTTGGGGAGCTGGAGGTAGGGAGAAGAAAATCCAAGATGTGAAAGAGGGAAGCCATGGAATTCACTGCGTTAGGAATCCCCCAGGATCACAGACCAGATACCTTCTCCTTAGAAAAGGAAGTCAATGGTGGAAATTATGTAGCAAGCTATGAGAGCCAGGCTAGATCTTGTGGGTTACAGAAAGGAACTGGCTTACCCAAGATGGCGCTTTCTATAAATGTGGTGGAACAGGGATCCCAGCTTGAGATTGACTTGACTTCTCAGGCTTTTAACAGCTTTGATACTTCCCTGAGACATAAGAGCCCCTCCTGCCCACAGAGTGTTCTGTTTTCATTGCAGGAGCTGGGGGTGTCTTCGAAGTGACTTGGAGTCATACATTTGGCCATCACCGGAATGTCACCTTCTACTATATTCCTATGGCCCATCACAGATGGATGGCAGGACAGGAGCCCAGGGACACTCGGCTTCATGCCACCTTTCTCCAAGGTTGTGTCCTCCCTGGGAAGAAACAGGTCAGAAGCTTCATCATCACAAAGTGACATCTACTCAAAGCATGGCACCCACACAAGTGAGCTCCAGATGAGCATGTTGGACACATACCCTACTCTGCAGAAGCTCTGGACATCTAGGAAAGGAATCCTGCTTCATTCACCAAGGCAAGAAAGCAGCCATCACCCTTATCTCATAAAGAAAGATGAAGCTGGCACATTCAGCTCCAAACAGCAAACACAGCACACGTTTATAATTTCTTATGCACACCCTGTGAGGTCAGATGTGTTTCAGAAAACAGAATTCTTAGAAAGATGATCGAATGTTTATACTGTGTATTATATGACACAGTGCATCACCCTGTGAACAAACACATTAATATTTCTGCAGTGACACAGATGAGCATCACATTGGGTGAGATACAAACCATATGTAGCTTCAGGGCTTTCCAGTTCAGGGTCACCACCAGATGAATACAGGGCAGTCTGGTTTTGCTCCCCAAAAAAGCTTTTTAGGATTTCAGAACGTACATAAAACATTGTGGACCTGTGTACCATTGAAGGGCTCTATGTTAATTTGTACCGCTGGGAAAATGTGAGATTTTATGTGTGTGTGTGTGTGTGTGTGTGTGTGTGTGTGTGTGTGTGTGTGTAACTTTGTCCTTAAAAACAAACCATCTCCAGTGCTCTGCTATTACGAAGAACCAAAGTAAAGGCATATACTTATGTCCATAATATTCCAAAAACTTTAACTCAAGAAAATTTGATAGAAATGTCCTGATTATAGGAGGGCTTGTATCTCTAGGTTTTGAATTGAACCGAGAGATGAGCAATTGCAGTTTGCAGACAAGGAACGGTCACAGACAGGGCCGTTGATTGACTGACCGAGAGCTGGCCCTGGATAGTGTCTTTGTAGAAAAACAATACTAATAAAGTTCATTCTGCCCTGGCGACTGATCCTGCATGTCACACAAGGTTGTTTTATTTTATAGGCTTCAGATTTATTATGGTATAGGGTTTAGATTTATTTACTCATATTGGCATTGGCTCTCAAAATAACATTATCTGTCTCTAGAATGTAGAACCTTCCACGTTTTAATGCTAGTCTTAGTAAGCATTTTAAAATTTTCCTGTCACATAATTTTGTAATTTTTTTGATTTTCTGTAATTAAATAATGTTTGTTTTTAAAGGAATACAGTCTGCTCTCACCCCACAGGCCGCTGATCTCCTCGGAAATCACAAGTGTGACCATGCAGCTTTTAGGTTCAAAATTTTTCAAATTTTCCTGTCCCACACCAAGAGAAAGTCAGGTCCTTCTGTATGAAGTATGAAGTCCTATAAAATCAGGCAACCCCAATCTCTTTCTGGCTTCATTTGCTGTGAGACTTCCCTGGCTCCTGACACACCAGCCTGCCTGCTGTTCCTAAGACTCACTGCGCATCCTCTGCCCGGATGCTCCCTAGATCCTCACGCTTCACTCCCTGAGGTCTCTGATTAACCTATTTTCCCTATTTTAAAACAAACCCTACACTCTGGCATCCTTCTCTGCCTTATTTTCCCTGTAGCAGTTATCTCCATCTGACATAGAATATATTCTACTTATTATCTGTCACCCCAATCCCCCCACACTAGATAGAGGTTCTGTGAAGCAGAGGTTTTTGTTTGTCTCTGCCTAGGACAGGATCAGGCACACGGTAGAAGCTCAACAAGTATTTCCCGAATGAATGAACACACACAAGCCTCCATGGACACATATATAAACCTGCACTAGTTTTTAAAAATAACCTTTCTGCATTGGTTTTATACTTTGGGGGACAAGCTAATGTCACAAGACATGCTGTTCACAGAAATTCCTATCTACTGACTTTGGTGAATACTTTAGTAAATCCTTTTAATTATTAGCAAGGGCCAAGTCAGTTCATATAAAGGAACACAAAAGGAAATACCAAATAAATAGTGTCGTGAAGGTCGCTGTGAAGTTACTCAGAGATTTGCACGTCATTAACTTGGCCACCAGCACTAGATTAGCTATATAAACACCAAGGAGGGTTAAACAGAGGTGACAAATTCAGGGATGGGTGACAAGAGACAAAGGTTTTGATAATTAAGTAGCTTGAAATAATTACAGCGTTCTCCTACCATAGATTATGAGAAATCATGAAGCAGGAAGAAAGAAAGAAAACCTTAAGGGCTTATAAACAATTTAAGAGTCTTTTTGTTTTTGTTGTTTGTCCAGAATGAATGGATTCGCTTCCATAGAGATACTCTTTTTCTCTAGCAAATATCGGCTCCTTTCAGAAGAGCCTTCGGGACTATAAGGTATCTATGACAGACAGGTCATAGGATAAGCTTATGGCCGAACAAAGGCCCTCCTTGTATGGAATTCTCTTCAAACAGCTGCACCCTGTAGCTACAAGTGGCTCCAAACCCACTTCTCAATCTGCCTGGCTTTGCTCAGTTACTTGGTAAGGTATATTTCAGTTAAAAGAAAAGTATCACTGCAGAATAAAACTAAACTAGGCAGCAGGAATTGCAATGTCTAGACACATTTTTGGTTGTAATGATTGAAGGATGCTACTGGCATCCAACAGGTAGAGGCAAGGGCAGCTTCTAAACATCCTACAATCCACAGACAGCCCCACATTACAAAGAATCGACTAGCCAAAAATGTCAATAATTGTGTTAGAGAAAGACTAGCCTCCCACCAGCCCCCTAATTATAAGGTCTTCCATAGAAAATGCTGTAATCCAATGGGTTGACTCTACAAGGAGCTTTGAAGCTGTAGATGAGCGGATATATTTTGTGCGGGGAGAACCCATCACCCCTTAAAACACTTCTTGAAGACTGCCAATGAGTCCTGATGAGAAGCTCTTTGAGATGATGGAGAGATTATGAGATTTGCATCTAGAAATCTAGGCTCAAATTCTAATTCTGCTGCCTACTGGCATGTTATTTTGGACAAGATGCTTCCTAGTGATAAACCTACTGCACTGGGTTCTTCTGAGTATTGAAACAGATAATATATGGAAGTGTTTTGTAAGCCATAACATTTCTGCACAATTTCCAGGTAATAGTAATAACTTTCTCTGAAGGTAATGGCTGGTCCTTTGTTTTTCACTGCCCAGATATTAAAATTGATCTCACTCTTCCATAATACAGGAAATTTTTTTTTGAGACAGAGTCTCTCTCTGTCATCCAGGCTAGAGTGCAGTGGCGTCATCATAGCTCACAGCAACCTCAAACTCCCGGGCTCAAGTGGTTCTTCTGCTTCAGCCTCACAAGAAGCTGGGACTACAGGTGCATGCCACCATGTCCAGCTAATTTTTTGTTATCATTATTTTTTGTAGAGACGGAGTCTCACTATTGCCCAGGCTGATTTAGAACTCCTGACCTCAAGCGATCCTCCCGCCTTGGTCTTCCAGAGTGCTAGGCAGGAAATTTATCTAAAATATTAATCCTTGTCATTTGTCAAAAAGCAAGCATCCATGGCCCTGAGCTCCCATTGAAATATAAGGGTTTAAAAATTTCAATTTTCTAAACTTCAATTTCTTACAGGAAACACTGGAAAAAAATAGATAGAAGAACCTAAAGGAAAAGAATGGCACTAGAGCATGTCTTGCTCTAGTACATCCAGGAAACATCTCTCACCTGCCAGGAGCTAGGCAAGCTCTGAGTGGCCAAGAGAAGCACAAGTTGATCATTCTGATACTTTCCTATCATTTGTTTTTGCTATTCTACCTGTGACTACAGGTCCATAAAAATGTGTGTACCACATCTCAAAATTAAGTCAGCATCTCTATGTGATATAGTCATGAAATTGTCACCTAGAGAGACCATTTCCATGCTATTCATAGAATTGAGA